TGGAGGGGTCAGAAAAGTCGCTAAATATAGCGACAAAGTCGCTGAGTTGGCAACACTGCACCTGCGGCGCTGCCGTATTTTTTTTTCTTCCCCCGTTTCAGTCAAGTGGATGTGATGACGACGGCGGCGGATGACGCATTAATCGCGCGACACAACTAATTGATGATGAAATTCGTTGCCAACGCTTTTAAAAGTCGATTTTTATCGATTTTATCGATTCGTTGTTGCAGTCCTAGTTTTGTTCCAATTCTCAATAGATTTAATGCCAAAAGATTCTCCAAAGAAAAATCAAAGAAGTGTCCTACCATGATTATGAAGCAAATTGCAGTGGGTAATTAGTCCCTAACTAAGTAGGGGCAGTGATAGCCATGCCAGTCCAGGGACTGACTGCAGTTCTACTGTAAGTTGCCTTGGTCAAGGTCAATGAGTGGCATACCTGACATGTAACAAGCATACCATGCATAGTGCTTTAGGTTAATAGAAAATACTAATTAGGCTATGTATACTTCCAAAAAAAAAAAAAAAAAAATCCACCCCCCTTTTTTTTTTTTTTTTTTTTTTTTTTTTTTTTACAACTCAACTACAGTCTAATGACAAAAAATATATTTTTGGTGTGGCTGCTTCAAGCTGCTCATGAGAATAATACAGATTCATAGATGAGTTTCAATGGTTGTAATTTAATCTGAATATAAAAATCTTACGGAACAGTGACACAGATTTTAATACAGGCTGCTGGAGGCTACCCTATGCACTGCAGCTGTCCAGGATACTGTATAAACAACTGGACACCATTTCATTTTATAGTGATCATTATTTAGAAAAAAATTGGTTTTCAATTTTTATGTATATAAAAAAGTTTCATTTAAATTTTTTGGAACGGAAAAAGAGGGAAATTCTTAAAGACTCTGTATTTATGCAAACTATCCTGTCCCTGAACACAATGTTAAATTGCTGGATGTTATATCCTGGATTTCACACTTACTTTTTGTTTAAATATTAATGAATATGTAAAAATGGATGAAAACAATACTCTCCCCATTTCCTAGTTTAATTTTCATAAAATGTATTTAGTTTTATCTATGAGCAGGGAATGTCCCCTGATTAGATTGCATAAATCTGGTCACCTTATCCCTCCTGCCTACCGCTCCCAACTCTTACAAGAATGCGATAAAAACAACAAAGGAAACAAAGACCCTATTAGTTACTTCAACATTTAATTTCCTTTCAGAAATATGAAGTATTGAATTTAATTAAAAGAGGAAGAATTCATGTGAGTTTGGGGTTTTCTTCTCAAACACTATAGGAGGCAGGAATGCATGTCCTGTGGGAGTGTCTTGAAAGATTGTGGGCTGGAGTAGGGTTCCAGGAGCTGGAAAGTCCCAACAGCAACCAAACCTCTATCCCCCTATCCCTATAATTATGTTAAATATCAGCATGGACATTGGTTCTCATTGTCCAAAATGAATATCATGGTGTATGGCTCAATTTAGGTCATTGTACTCTCATTCTACCAAGAGGCAATGTCATAACAATGTCAAGTTTTGACTTTTTATTTATTCTTTTGCAGCTGATGATTTAGAAACTTGTGAGAAATTGAAGGTAAACCTTTTGCTTATACATCTTCATTTATTATAACTGATTTATTTAAATTTACCATAGGCAATGCTCTCTACATTTAATCCAAGTAGGTCCAGAAGTTGTATTGTAAAATATGTGCTAATATAGCATTGATGAGCATACCTTAACTTTTTATTTGAATAATTTATAATTAAGCTCTGTATTGGTATATTTTGTGATTACATAAAACACAAGACGAGTGCAACAAGTACAAGTAAAACCAATGTATTTTAAAAGCATGAACAGGATGGTGCCAAACTCCTTAAGACGGAAGAGGACTGTGCAGCCGACCATAAGGGAATGAGGACTAGTCAATGTCTACAAACAGACAAAGGTAATATAGCAGAAGGATAACTTTACAATCCAGCAAAAAAAAAACAAGAATGCTTTTGCCAACCATACATAATTGTTACTTAGTTTTTGTTTAAACAACAATTTCAAGATCAATTCTACATTCATCTCCACTAAATGACACCAAAATCCTGGTTGCTCAAACAAACTAGCACACTTATAAACCAACACTTTGACAAAGGTACATTGGAATTGCCCTCAAGAATATCATCTTTATAATTAGCTATAGAAGCCACCTGTATAAACTGGACCAGAAAAAACACCTGTTCACTCATCTCCCATATGTGTGTCCACCCAACCTCAATAATGGGCATCTGAGGAAATAAACTATTTCCTGTCTGTAATGGTGAGTTCATACAGCACACGGAAAAGACAGTGATTTCCATGAGCCCTGCAGGTAGTTCAGCGCTCTTTATTTCAGATGCATACACCTTGGTCCGCATCATGAAATAGGAGGAGTCAAGTCAAGTCAGCTTTTATTGTCATTTTCTACATATGTACAAGACATACAAGGGAAATGAAATTACGTTTACTCTCTGCAATATACAAATATACAAGAAATATACAAGACTGACATTTAAAACTGACATAAAGTGCGGGACATGACAGGTAAGAGTGGTAAGATAAATATAAGTATGAAATATAAACATTACAATAAAAAGCAATAAAAACAGCAGCAATAGTTTGTTCCAGGCTGAGGTAGTGCAGGTAAGGTGCAGTCTCTGGTATAGTGTGTGTGTGTGGATGTGTGTGAGAGAGAGAGAGAGACAGAGAGAGAGAGAGAGAGGGGGGAGGCA